TCTAAGCCGTTGAGTTGGTAGGATTGGATATCTACAGTTAGGAATTTATCTTTGGTTACTTTTACTAGGGCAGATTTACCTTTCTTAGAGAGCTTTCTTTCGAGCTGACCTCAGTTAAGCATGAGAGGGCAATTCTCTTGGGAACATTCTAAATAAGAAATGCCGATAAAGTAATTATGGAAGAATTCTAACATAGTTCCCTTCCATAAATCTTTTTGAGTATTATTCACTATTTCCCCCCTTATCCTCATTAATATCCAAGAAGTTTGCTAACTCTTCCAGTTTCTTTTCAATCTCTGAACGACCTCAAGCAATGGTAGACTTATTTATTTGGTTTTTTAGTTCTTGATAGCTATTTTGGGCTTGGTTAAGTGAACCTTCTCGTTGATTATTTTCGGTTAGTTCTTGCTTTTGTTTAGCTAATTCAGCCTCCTTTTGGTTAAGCCTCTCTAACTGTTCCCGGACAGTTTTGGTTAAGGAAGTGACTTGTCTAATGAGATTGGTTTTATCTTGTTGAAGCTGAGTGATGTGGGTTTGTTTAGATTGTTGTTCTTGATAGGCTTTTTCTTTAGTTTCCTTTAAGGTTTGGTTAAGAGTGTTAAGTTCAGCTTCTAAAAAATTAATTCTTTGGTTTTTTTGGCTAAGAATTTTATTTAGTTCGGTTTCTTTTTGTTGGTTAGAGAAGAGTTGTTTTTTGAGGTTTTGGTTTTCTTGTTGGGATAGGTTGAGGTTTTGGGTGAATTGGGTAAGTTCTTGTTGATGCTGGGCTTCCAAGTCGGCTTTTTCTTGTGCTCAGGTGTCTCGGTCTTGTTGTCAGTTAGTTTCTAAGTTTTTTAAGAGTTCCTTGGCCTCTTTTTTATTAGTTAGTTTTTGTTGGGCTAATTTAATTAAGGCTGATTGTTCTTGTTCTAAACGGGATTTACGGTCACTGGCTAAAAGAGTAAGTCCTTGAATTTGCTTTTTTAAGTCAGTGATTTCTTTATTCAATCCTTCGAGGATTTTTATGTCGGTGGAGTTTTGCAGGGTGGTGAGGTCATTTTGCAGGATATTTCTTTCCTGCTCTCATTGGTAAGTTTGGTTAGCTAAGTCATTAGCTCACATTTGCCTTAACATTCTCTCTCGATAATTCATTAGGTTTTCACCTCCTTTATTTGGTTAAGGTTTTTAAGTTTTCATTTTTTTAAGAAGTCTTTGATTTCGGCTTGCTGCTTAATTCTCTCTTCAATTCAGGGTTTCATTTTTTTAATAAAATCAGCAGCATTAATAAAAGCTTGATTTTGTCAACTTCATTCTTTAAGAATAGAACTTAAATCAGCTTCTAATTTAAGGCTTCGGTGTCGTTCCCTTTTCTTGGCTATTTCTCCTCTTAATATTAACATTCATACCTCCTAAGCTCTAACTAAAGCCCAACTATTACAAAAAGGTATCATACCCCCCACCACTTCCACATGATAAGCAAACTTTTCTAAGCCCCCACCCAAAGTTTTCTCATGCTGAATCTCTTCGGGATTAATAATTCGATAAAACACTGATTTTTCATC